GCGGCGAGCGAAAGGAGGTCCTTGCTCCGTGGTGGAGCGGTGGGATCGGTGGCTGTCGGGTTGAGGGCTGAGGCGGCGGCGTGGGAAGGAAGGAGGCGGGTGGCGCTCGAGAGCCGGGAGCGCCGCTGGCTGCCGGCCGACATGCTGCAGGGGCGAGTTCAACGCGCCGGGAGGGCTCCGCTGTCACGGGGCGCAGCCTCCGTGGCCGACTCGACCGGCGAGCCGCATCGGCAGCCGCGGGGCGCGATGCAGCGCCGCAGCCTCTCCCCCTGGTCTCTCTCACAGCCGCCGAGTGCACAACCATCGCCCGGCCTCTGCCCTTGGCACGAGCTGGCGCCGCCTCGGCCGCGTCCAGCTGCATGGGCTCGGCACGCGCGGAGCGGAGCACGCGCGCCCGCGCCAGGTTCGGGAGGTCTGCATCCGGCAGTGCGGGGAGGCTGCTGTGGGCAATGCGCCCGGGCTGCGTCCAGCGGCCGGGGGAGCTGGTCGGCCTGAGGCTGCGCAGTACCGGCGTCAGACCGGTCGACTCGGGAGGCTTTGCAAAGTCGGTGCGGATGCTCAGCGAGCGGCGCGCCCGGATCTTCACGATCGGTGAGGGTGGCTTGGTGGACATGCTGGGGCGTTCGCGCTGCGAAGCCTTGAGCCCTTTCTGTTTCGCCGCCGGTTTGTCACGCCAACTCCCGCGAGATTGTCTATTTGAGGGGGTGGTGGGTTCAGAATGTCGTGCTTATTCTCATGCAGGCGCAACGCCGTGGCCGCCGTGCTTAGCCGTTTGGTCGTGCCAGTCACTGTGCATCGGGGTGTAGGGTAGATGTGTTTGTAGAGAAACAATGCGATCCCTGTGTGTGAGAGAGATTTTTTTTAGAAGCCAACAAGAAATGTGTGACACACAGTGATTTGGGCTCGGCAGCTTGTCGACTATCGGCCGGAGCCGGAGTCGGAACCCTAGCCGAGATGGTCGTCGAGGGTGTCGAATATGTCATTCGACATTCGCCTCGCTAGTAGCCGGAATCGACTTTTTTGGCTCCAGAGGGCCAGGCCACGGCGTTGGCATTGGACGAGCGTGCGTCCGGGGTGGAGTGGCGGCTCGCGGGTTACGGTAGGCTACCGGGCGGGAGCAAATCGGCTCCAGTCGGCAGCTGGTCTCGAAACTCGGTGCTTCCTCCTAAAAAAGATAGCAGACTCGAGACCGCGGTCGCCGTCATGCCGGTCGTTACCGATCTATAGGTGGCGAAGGTGGTCTCGAAACTCGGAGTTTCTTCCTAAAAAAGAGAGGAGAGTCGAGACCACCCTTGCTCGATTCAGGTATGCCCGAAAAAATGGCGACCGTTACACGTTTTCAGAATCAGATCGGCCAATCACGTTTCAGATTGGCTGATCTGAAATTCAAAGTTCTAAACTACCGGCGGTTTTCATTGATGAAATTCTTGCAAGGTAGTTCAAGAGGCGTCTCAGAGTCAGAGGGTGGACCCTCTGAATCGCCAAGTCAGGGGGTTGGGCGAGCCTCAGAGGGGGGTCTGATGACTCAGAGTCCCTTTAAACCTCTATGGACCATGTGGTAAAATGTAAAAACTCTCGGGGAGGATCCTCGAGCAGCCTCCTCGACTGCAATCGACGTCTTCTTCTGCCGATCGACGGTGCGCCTGGGCGCGGCGCTGCCGCCCCGAGGACACCCGTGCCCTCTGCCCCAGCGCGCGCGGCGGCCGCTCGCTCGCTGACTGCACGCGCCCGCACAACAGCCCACTGCAGCCCGCACAACAGCTCACTGCAGCTCGTACATGTACTTACCGCCCTGGATCGTCTCCGGCGGCCAGTAGCCGCGCGTGCCCGACTTTTGCTTCACCTCGCCATCCTTGGTTGTGTGGGCGAGACCCATGTCGCTGATCTTCACCTTCCCTCGATGTCGAGCAGCACGTTCTGCGGCTTGAGGTCGCGGTACAAGTACTTGGCGTCGTGGATGGCTTGCAAGCCGCACGCCATCGAGGCCGCGTAGTACTGGATATGCGACGGGCCCAGCTGGCGGCCGCGCGAAACATCGTGTGGGTGGTTGTGGCAGCACCCCATCTCAGGGTCAAGTCGGCAGGCTTCGCAGATAATTCGCTTGGCCTCCTCATCCTCCAGGGGCTTGCCGTAGTCGCTGGGCTGCAGCCCAACGTCCTCCGTGTGGAGGAGGTGGCCGCTTGTGTCAGCCTGGGTCGTGCACGTGTCTGGGCATTCCTGCATCACCGCGTCCAGCAGCGAGCATAACGTTTGAAGCCTTTGGCTTGCTCGCAGGTGGGTTGAAAGCCACGCTCGCAAGGCCCGAGCTCCGTTGCAGGCGCGAAGCCCTGCGGACCGACCGCCGCCACGAGCGCAAGAAGCATGATGCGCACACGCAAAAAGCAAGACCAACGCGATGACTAAGAATTCTTAAGATGACTAAGAAATCTACGACCGTGTGGTGTGCCGGTGATAGTACTAGCACGCGCCAGTTCGCACCTGTGTCGAGCCTGTCTGCTGTGATAGAGAGTTCTTTTGTTTAAATTCTACGAACATAAGCCCCTCTCACAGCAGACTGGCACGAACTAGCACCACAAAAGGCACAGCAGACAACGGCCCCTTATGGGCCGTCGAAGAGGCCGTCATACTCCTCCGGCCTCGCCCCCCCTTCCCAACCCTCCCCTGGCTCAGGCTCCTCATCCTCGCGGCGCGCAGTGCGCACCCCGCCCCGCGAAGACGAACCCTTCCGTCGGCGTGCCTCGCGGGACTGCCGCCCGCTGCCGCCGCCCTTCCCCCCCTCCGCTGCCCGCGCCGCCTTCTCCGCCGCCCGCGCGGCCGCCTTCGCCTCCTCCGCCGCTAACAGCGCCTCCCTCCGCGTGACCCCTATGGGCCCCTTGCGCATCCAGGAGAGGTCGCGCGAGCGACCTATCCAGGGGTTACTCGGATACGGCGCAACGTAGCCGCTGCGCAGCTCCGAGTAGTCGCCAAAGCCCCCCCCCAAATAGCCCTCCCCTCCCAAGCTAGCGTAAACTAACCTCAGGTGCTTCTTGGTCGGAGGAGGAGTCGTCGGAGGAGCGGTCGGACCGCTCGCGCTTGTCGCGCCTGATGCGCTCTGCGAGGGGGCCGGGGTCGTAGTTGTCGTGCTCGAGCGTCGGGTAGGTAGCGCGCCTTGCGACCTTGTCGGCCGTGCTGCCGTCCCAGTACAAGGTGTACCAGTCGCCGCGAGGGTAGAACCAAGCGGTGACCAACCTGTACCGTCCGAGAGCGGCCGCCTGAGCAGCCTGAGCGGCCGCCTGAGCAGCCGCCTCTGCAGCGGCTGTCGCCGCCGCAGCCTTCTGCGCCGCCGCCTGTGCGGCCTTGGACTTCTTGCCTTGTTTTGCCTTCTTCTTGGTGCCCTTCGAGGTGTCATCAAGTGACTGGCTGGCCCGCCAGAGGTCGTGCTCTGGATGACTGGGGCAGGGCGGCTCACGGGAGGAGGAGGGGGACGAGGGCGGAGGCAGGCACAGCTGCTCTCCGTTGACCTCGTGTTGGTGGCAGAACCCGATGGTTCCGTCGCAGCCGCGCACTGTGTCATGGGGGTTGTAGATTTCGAGAGGGAATCGAGCCAACGCTTCCGAGAAGGCGAGAGGAAGACGAGTAGATCGCAGACAGTAGATGAAGTCGACGACGCAGCCGCCGCCGCGCCGCCGCCCGCCCTCGTGGCCACCGTAGACGCGGCTGAGGAAGAGGTCGGCGGTGCGCCCGCTGGGCGGGCAGGCCTTGAAGAAGTTGTTCAGAGAAGTGCGAGTGTTGAGGCCGCGTGCAGCAGCCTGGATCTTGGTGATGAGGATCGTGATGATGATGGTGCCCTTGCGCAGCAGGAACGCGCGCATGGCCCGCTGAACGCGGGTCGCTGCGGCGTCCTGTGCGAACCCCCATTTCTTGTTGGCTTCTTGTGTGTGTGTCTCGCGCCTTGCGGGGGGGGGGGGGGGGGAGCGGAAAGGAGGAACCTCTTCCCACTCTTGGAGCGCCGCCACTAGCACCCAGAGCGCTGCAAGAGCAGCGCCGGGCAATGACGGCTTACCGCCCACCCAGCCCCCCCTCTCCGAGCCCTCCGAGCCCTCCGAGCGAGCCCTCCGAGCCGCGAGTGAGTGTGTGTGTGTGACCGATGCGAGTCGACTGACCTGGTGTGTGTCGCGTGTGGTTTCGTATCAAGAATACTCACACTCACGTAAACGCACAACCCCGGGCCCGAAATCGCACTCACCCTCCGAGCCGCCTCCGAGCCCCCCGACCCCGGCTCGGCAGCTCGCCTCCGACCCCTCCGAGCACTCCATCCGAGGGCTTGAAGGGCTCGGAGGGCTCGAAGGGCTCGAGCTTACGAGCCTGAAGGCAAAATGCCCCACACCGACAAGAGAGCGGGAACCTTGATAGAGGCTCATTAGGAGGTGTGCCTGCCTTCCACCATCGCCGCGCGCGCGGCGATGCCGTCGACTTCGAGCTCCAACCAGAGCGGCGAGCGAGGATCCGGCGCCGAAAAGGACGAGGGGGCGACGCGGCGGATGCAGCTGTGCGTCGCCGCCCGCCTCCACCTCCTCGCGTGCTCAAAGAAAAGGCGACAGAGGCCCGCTCGTTAACCGCTTTCTCGGGTGCCCTGCAGGTCCCAAGACCAGCGCGCCGTGCTCGAGGCGGTCTACGCGATGGAGAAGCTACCCGACTCGCGCCTGCGCGAACGCCTCGCCACCTACCTCAGCTTGTCGGCGCGACAGATCCAGGCGGCGGCCGCACATACGCCACGTCGCTCACCGCCGGCCGCACACTCGGACTCTGCGTCGGCGGAAGAGGGGGGGTGCGCACGGCGCGACCTCTCTCACCTCCCGCCGCGCGCTCCGCCCGCAGGTCTGGTTCCAGAATCGGCGGCAGCGCTCCAAGTCCAAGGAGCCTCAGCTGTCCCAGCCTCCGCTCCTCGCCGGCCACGACCAGGTCCTCTCCGCACTCTTCGACGTGTCGGAGGGGGCGCTGCCTCCGGAGGTGCGGGCGCGGGTGGCGATGGGCTCGCGCTGCGGCACCGGAGGCGACCTGCTCGCCTCCTCCGCGGTCGCGGCAGGCCCCGCCGCCTCCCCCGCCGCCGCCGCGCAGCTGTCTGCAGGCGCCGGCGGAGCGATGCCGCTCGCGGCGGCGGCGGTGGCGGAGGAGGGGGCGGGGAGGCTGCCCTTCAACCTGAGCTTCGAGTGGGGCCTCCCCTCGGCCGGGGCCTTCCTCCCCTCCCGTGGCGCCGCCCCCTCCCTCGCCGCCCCCTCCCTCGCCGCCGGTTTGGTACCGTCGCCGCTCGACAGCCTCCAGCCTCTCCCGAGCCTCGGCGGCGCGTCCGTCGCCCTCGGCGCTGTCCCGGCGACGCTCGGAGCGGCGTGCGGGAGGGAGCCGCACGCCGCCGAGCCGACCTCCGCCGCACCCCCCTCCTCCCTCCCCCAAAGCGGCCTGCATGCTCCCGCGGCACCGCCGGGCGGGCGCGTCGGCCCTTCGGCGCCTCTCGCTGCGGCGGCGGCGGTGGGTGGGGATGGGGGCGGGCTGGCGCCCCCGCCGCCGATGGTGCTCGAGGCGCAGATGGGCTACATCTGCCACGTCCTTCGCCTCGCGGCGATGGACTACTCCCTCGTCTCCGCCTCGGCGCCCTCCTCGCTGCTGCAGACGTACGCGCCGGACGGTGCCGCCGTGCTCAACTCGCTGGCGTGGTGCTTGCCCCGTCGCCTCGACCCGGCTGGCGTGAGAGCAGCGCGCCTCTTCACGCCTGCAGGGTGCGAACAGGTGCCGCTCCCTCCTCTCGAGCCCGCTCGTCGACATCGTCGCATCCACGCGCGAGGCGGCTTGGTTTGGCGGCTCCGACGAGCAGGCGGCCATCCTGCGCCGCGCAGGCAGCAGCTTCAAGGCCATCGTCGGAGTGCCGTGCCTCGAGTCGCCGGGCATGTGGGGCTCGGACGGGCAGTGCGTTCGGCCGGCTGAAGGCGCCGTCCTCGGCGTGCTCGTCCTCTACGCGACGCACCCCATCCCGCAGACGCAGCAGACAGCCCTCCTCCTCTCGCTGCTCGGCTCGTCGATCGCCGCGGCCACCCTCGCCGCCCCCGCGCAGAGCCGCACCCTCTCGCCCGCCACGTCGTACTCGCTCCACCCGCAGCCCTCCGCCTCGTCGGCGCTCGGCTGGCTCCTCCTCGTCGCGGCGCGGGTGGTGCAGGCGGACGCTACATCATCCCCCTCCCGTCTCCTCACCTTCCCCCACCTCCTCACCACCACCATCCCACCTCCTCTTCATCACCACCCCCCTCCTCACCACTCCCTCCTCTACTCCGGTGCAGGCGGACGTGGCGGAGCACTGGCGAGCGGAGCTGGGTTCGGCGGGCGTGGCGATGAGCGCCGAGCGGCTCCTGATCGCTCTCTCCGTCGGCTCGGGGCCCGGCCGGGTCACTCTGTCGACGGGGGCGGACTCCGAGGCGGGACCGCGCCCCTTCTCCGTCGCAGATGTGTGCGGCGGACTCTTCATGCTCCGTGGTTGGTCCGTGGCAGGCGGACCACCCCTTCTCTTCCCAGATGTGCCGCGCGGCCTTCTACGCGGGGAAGGTGTGGTCTGGACCCTCACCCCAACCCCTCCCTTACCCTAACTCTAACCCTTCTACGCGGGGAAGGTGGTCTGGACCCTCACCCCAACCCCTCCCTTACCCTAACTCTAACCCTTCTACGCGGGGAAGGTGTGGTCTGGACCCTCACCCCAACCCCTCCCTTACCCTAACTCTAACCCTTCTACGCGGGGAAGGTGGTCTGGAACCTCACCCCAACCCCTCCCTTACCCTAACTCTAACCCTTCTACGCGGGAAAGGTGGTCTGGTGCAACGCGACGCACCCGTCCGGCGTGCTCGAGGGCGAGCTCACCCTCTCCCCCCCCCCCTCGAGGCGGGCCATCAAAGAGTGAGGAGGCGCTGATGTGCATGAGCTGCGCGGTAGGCGTGCCCCTCCCCCTCAAGACAGCCGTCGGCATCCCTCTCTGCTCCGCGGCCAGCCCGCACGCCGACGCGCTCGTCCTCTACTCTCTCCGGCCGCTCAAGCAGTGCCCGCTGACCACAAACTTGCTCACGCACCTGCAGCTCCTCGCCACCGCCGCCGACGTCTGCAGCGTCGACGCCGAGGCGAGCGCACCAGACTCGCCGGGCCCAAGGCCGGTGGCGGCGCGTTTGCGCTGCGACTCTCTCCCAGTCGCCGCTGTCGCCGCGGGGGCGGACGGCGGCGACGGCGGTGCACGCGGCGGTGTGGGGAGCTCGGAGGGCGGCGGTGCGGCGCAGGGCGGCGACACGCGGGCAAGCTTCAAGCGGGCTCTCTCGCTCGGCGCTTCGCTCGACACGCGCGGGCGCCGACGATCTCGACAGCTGAGGTTGCGCCGAGAGTCGCGTTTGGGGGACGCGGAGGCTGTCCGAGGATGTAGGCTGGACGATTTCGATTGCGTGATCGCCGGCATCGCGCACGCGGAGAGCGCGCCGGTGGCCACGCGGTTGCTTCTGCGCCGGCTCGGCCGGCGGGCAGTCTCTTCTCACTCGCCGCCGTCGTGTCTCAGGCGGCCAAGGTGGTGTGCGCCGG